TGCTCCCCATTCTGTTGTCTTCCAGATGTCTTGGACTACAAAACCCAACATCCTGAATTAGCAAGCCTACTGGGTTTTGGGGAGAATGCCATCTAGAAACTGTCACATTGGGGAAGGATAATCTGTAGCTTGCTGATCTGTACTTTGCTCGCTTCATGTACTAGATTGGAAAAAGGGTATCTCTAGTGGCTGAAACAGAGGATGAAATACATTTCTCCACTTGACAACATTTTTTAAAAATCCAAATGCTGTATCTGCAGTGTGTGGGTGTAGGTGTGTGTCTATGCGATTAAATCTTGTTAGTAACAACATCCCTTCCAATGCCAAAGGGAACGGGTTATCAGGCTTACTTGCTATTCAGTTATCCACCTTAGCCCATCAGGTTTGAAAATCCTGTTTGAAAAACACAGCTGGGGAAAAAAGACCTAAATGGCCCCCTCACCTCCACTGCTGCTTTTCTATTTTTAGTCACTCCCTTTCAAGTGATAAGTTTTACAATTTCAAAAGCAAAATGTCAAACTAGTTATATGTAACATGCAGTGTAGCCCTGAAAAAACATATAGAGCAGCAATGATGTTGTTGCTTTGGGTCGGCAAGATGCCCCTGACTTATGAATAAGTGGCCTCCCAAAGGTCCCATGTTAAGGACCCTGCTCAGCTCTTGCAAACTCAAGGCTACAGCTTTCTTATGGAGTCTATCCATCTCACAGCTTGCCTTCCTCTTTTCTTGCTGCCTTTTCCTCTCATCATTGCCACCAATACTAAACTGAAATGCACTTGATAGTTAGCAAAAAAGGTATGGTGAAAAATAAAGGCTTTCTCTTTTTAATACAGTGGTGCCTTGCAAGACGATGTTAATTCGTTCCACGAAAATCGCTGTTACGAAAACATCATCTTGCGAAACGAAAAAGCCAATTGAAATGAAATGAAACTGGTTCAATGCGTTCCAATGGGCTAAAAACTCACAGTCCAGCGAAGATCCTCCATAGGGGCGGCCATTTTTGCTGCCTGTAAAGCGGGGAATCTGTCCTGAAAACACAGTGGGGAGCCATTTTGCACAGCGGGTGGCCATTTTAGAACAGCAGATCAGCTGTTTCTAAATAGTTGTTTAGCGAAAAATCAGTTCCCGAAGCAGGGAACCGATCATCGTTAAGTGAATTTTCCCCATAGGAACATCATTTTGCGTTCGCAAAAACTTCGTTAAGCGGTTTTGTTGTTTAACGAGGCAATCATTAAGTGAGGCACCACTGTATATGAATGATCAGCATGGTGCTGGAAATATTTGCCCCTAATGGGCTTCCACTGGGAGAAATCTAATCCAAAATATTACACTGAGGAACATTTTTTAAAAATCACCAGTGCATCTGAACAAGAGGTGTGTATTTGTGACTACACCCCGATGCTACAGAGCATTTTCATCAAAACATAAAACAATATGCTAGGCCCAAAATATGCTAGATGAACACTGTTCCCAGAAAAATCAGTAGGTAAGTTAGTCACTACTTGTCTTGTTGATCTTAATGGGAACTATAATTCAACAAAGGGTGCAACTACATTGTAGAAGAATCCACATGGATCCTTTAGGAATTTGCACCAGGTTTCCCTGAGTGAAGCTGCTTTCATCAGCCGCATAGGAGTCGGGGGGGGGGGAGAAATTGGCAAATACCCCTTATTTTTGTGGCATGTTAAGACAGTTCTGTTGTATCTATTCAGATTTGCTAGAGGCACAGCTATAGCAGAGCTACCTTTAGAGAGGCCTGCAAAGAAGTGCTGATTCACAATTTCCTCCTTGCTCTCCAATGCCACCTTCTTTTTAATTCTTAGCATGTGAACACAAATGCTGGAACTAGGCCTTTAAAAAAAAGAAAATAAATGGAACAAAAAGGGAAGAGGGAAGCAGCCACTCACTTTGGAGAGGAAAGGATTCAAACCGCAGCTAGATTCCCATCTGAATGGACTTGTTGCCTTGCCTCTCTCATTGCTACTCTAGCCAGGTGGAATGCCTTGAAATAGACCGGCTAGAAATGCCTCTGTTGTTCTGAAACCGTATGTCTGAATGGATTCACCGAAGAATAAAAAATATAGAAGCCCCAATGGCAGAGGAAAAAAATTCAGATGGAGGGAAAAGCTGGGCCTTTGCATTGATTTGTATTTCTTGTTGCCAATGGGAAGTAATACGAATCTGACTGTCCTCATCCTGGAGTAAGTCTTGTGTTATTTGCCAGTAGCACAGCCTGGATCCAACCCGGTGTTTCTTGATTCTCAGCCACTGTAATCAGAAATCACATTTCTCAGCTCAACTTCATACACAAAAGGAGTGTTTCACTTTTCTGAGAGGACAAGGAAGCTCTAAATATTGGTAAAGCAACAAAAAGCCTTTGAAGTATCTGAAGAGGTAAGTATTTGCATTTGCTACGGATTTCATATGTACATATGAAAGAATGTTTATCCAGTGCAGTTTTGGGGTGAAAAGCAAAGGAAAGGATTCAAGCCAGAAAATAGCATTTGACTCCCAAGCGTGAAGGCAGGAGCTGTCATCCCGTGGGAGGAGTGGCTCTCTCTGAGTACTGCAAATGAAAAGGATGGCCCTCGGGTCCCCATTTCTGATTTTATTCTGGTTTCTACATGATTGGCAGATAAACACATTTGAGAAGAGAGCGAGTCTGAGTCACCGGAGAAGATAATGCAATGCTCTTCCTGGCTATATTGACAGATGGCAAATAAATGTCCAGTCTTATCGGAAAATGTTCAACTCAGCTGGAGATACATGGACTGCTGCACTATGCAGATAAGAGTCAAGGAATGGGTTGAGAGGAAGGTTGGAGAGAAAAAATAAAGTTAATGGATGAACCGTACAGTTACAGAGAATAAAAGAAGTCACAAGTACTATCACTCTTTAATGAATGTTTACAAGATGTTGAGGTCTTGTTAGCTAGTGCTCTTCTTCTGGGGCAACTTTTCAAGCATCTTAACACTGTGTGTTGATCAATATATTGTTTCTGTCTTACAACATTGTGAAACATGATACTTCTATGGATATTATATCCGTAGAAGTATCATGAACAAAGAGTAGATTAGTTCACCAAAGGCTCTTTGGGCTATTTACAGTAGATCACTAGACCTTCCACCTCCTACTTTTTTGGGGGGAAATATGAACAACTTTTCTTCCTCAAATTATGTGCTAAAACAAAGAAAGCTGGAGTGGGAGGCAAGTAATGAATATTTAACGTGGAAGAAAACCTGAATTCAGTTTTTGTACTGAGTTGAGAAATGTTCAAAAGGTGCCCTGCCCCTTATTCCTAAATATGTGTCAACCCTTTCTTTGCAGGTCACTTCCAGCAAGTATTCTTTGAATTTCTAGGAAAGAACAAAATAGACGCCACAAACATACAGCATTGTTACAGTATATAAACTGAAATAAAGAGTTAAGAGTCAAACATCATTAAAGCAATAATTAAAAGAAGCAAGTAATATATGCAGTCATTCCCATAAAAAGTAACCAAAAACACTCTTATAACTAAGCTTTCAAGAGTTCCACATGGGTTATTGAATTTTACAGATATGTCAAAATTACAGAACACATTGAAACTTGTAACCAAACAAAACCTGTATAATAAATGTTTCAAATGCCATAAAAGTTTATACTGCACTTCAATATACAGTGGTGCTCCGCTTGATGATTACCCCGCTCCACAATGAATCCGCTTTATGATTGGGCTTTTGCGATTGCAAAACAATGTTTCAAAGGGAGATTTTCGCTTCACGGCAATCGGGTCCCTGCTTCGGGAACTGATTCTTCGTATTATGATGATCTAAAAACAGCTGATTGTCGGGTTTCAAAATGGCTCCCCACTGTGTTTAGGATGGATTCCTTGCTTAACAGGCACCGGAAAATGGCCGCCATATGGAGGATCTTCGCTGGACGATGAGGTATTTCGCCCATTAGGCATTAACTGGTTTTTAATGCATTCTAATGGTTTTTTTTAACTTTCGTTTGATGATGATTTCGTTGTACAGCAATTTTGCTTTAACGGATTATCGTCAAGCGAGGCACCACTGTACACTATTAAGTGTCATTTACAAACATTAAAATAGGGACCATAGAATGTGAGCAAAATTTAAGAACACACCTAAAAAGGCAAATGATTACATCAAGTCCAGAATACTGTGGCCAGACTGATGGCTGGCATGAGGAAAAGTTTGATCACATTGCTCCAGTTCTGGCTCGCCTCCACTGGACCTGTGGTGTCCCTGGTCAGGTTCATGGTTTTGATGCTTATTCCATCATTTTGAACCATGGTACTTGTCAGAGCATCTTTTCCCAATGTCATCTGCCTGCTCCACCAGATCTTCCCAAGCAATGCTCCTTCGGGTGGCCATTCCAAAGAAGACCAAGAAGTCTTCTACCACAGGTTGGGCCTTCTTCGCTGTGGCACCAGCTCTGAGCAACCAGCTCCCAGTGGAGCTGCGCCTAGCTCCTTCCCTCCCAACCTTTAGAAGGCATCTTAAAATGTTCCTCTTTAGAGAGGCCTTCCACAATCACCCTGCTTGATCCAATGCCTCGTGTCCCACCTGTTACCAGGATAATACAACTCTTGTTGTTATTACTTTTATTTTTCTAACTGTTTATTTATAAACTTATTGTTCTTGAGGTGTTTTATTATGATGTAAGGCATACATGGAGTGATATATAAAATAAATAAATAAATAATAAAGCACTAAGGTTTTTTTTTAAAACATATCCAGTATTTTAAAAATCCTTCAGACAGTAATAGTTTGAGAAAACAAAAAGCTGTCTGCCAAGCAACAAGAAGTTGTAACAGTGGGTACCAAATGGTGAGTGAGACTTCCCAGGGGAAAAAAGTTCCACAGACAGAGGTCCACAACAAAGAAAACAGACTTCTCTCTTGTCACTCCTGGAAGAGGATCTCAAGTGCAAGTTGGCATGGAAGCAAATGTTCCCTCAGGCACCCAGATCCTAAATCATGAAGGATTTTTAAAGGAAAACAGCAGCACTTTGATTTGCACATGGAGATGGACTGGAAGCCACCACAGCTCTTTAAGCACAAGCTAGATATGACCCCAACACTCTGCCCTGATTAATATCCACTAGAATTCTGCACCAACAGCTTTTTAGATAGTCTTCAAAAATTATACATATACATACACAGCAACCATCACCCCTTCCATGCATATATTCATCCACTTCTTGTTCCTGTTGCTATGAGATTATATGTGACAAATCCATTAAAACCACAAATAGATGTTTAAAAATGGTAGCATTTTATATTAAAGTGGAGGGGGGTTACACCTGACAATTTGAACAGGCAAAGTAATTTATCCATTTACAAAAGTTGGAGAAAAGGCTTTCCATCGAAAAACAGAGGAAATCCTTGTATAGGATATGATCATGCAAAGCAAATGTTTCCTAGTTATATCCTGCTAAATCATTGTAGAAATTTCCAGTCACACGATGCACAGCCATTATCGAGTCATTTACCAGGCCAGCAATGTAACTGTGGTTTATTTCTCACTTGCTAGGAAGCTTCTGTTATTTTGTTCCAATGGCATATCAATATATTCAATTATTTTCTGAAGCCAAGTCACTGGAGAAGGCAGCCATTGTTACTGCCATATGGCTGCCCTGATATATATACAGTATATTTATTTTTGTGTGTGGCTGGTATGTCAATACGTAGGTAAACCTATGTCAATGGCCAAGTATGTCAGGAGACTGGTGGGTACTGCATCACTCCACCTACTGTCTGGCAAGCGACACAGCCCTGGATGGGGGTGCAGGCTCTATTAAGTGCAATGCAGTTCTTATAGAGCTGCTGGTGCAACAAAGGAAATTTGACTGAACAGGAACCCCTTCCTGACATATTGATGTATCAGTAAATAAAATAAAATAAAATAAAGTAAGCGGCTGCAGTGCTCCAGAAAACAAGAAAGAAAATCAATCGATACCACGGTGTAGCTAGCCATAAAGAATCAAATAGGAGAAAATGAATTGGTAATGTTAAAACACATTGGAACAATTGCCATGGTATAGTGTATGAGCTGGAGACCTATGCATGCATGCTCATGTCAGAGGGAACTGTGGTTTCCCTGTTTATGTATGCATAGCTCCCTCATAACATTGTTCAGTCTTGAAATAATTATTCCTGTCCATGCAAAAGCAATTCTTTCTCTTTCCTCCATAAAACAACTGTCTCAGTGAGGGAAAAGACAGAAGTGGTTTGGCAATGCTAGTACTACATTCCACCTATTTGTTCACTTCAGATCAAGGCCTGGGAAGCAATAAAAAAATTTTGAAGGTCATTTTGAAAATAATATTGAGCACATAATGAATTGTTAATGGTATCATCAACATCCCCCCCTCCCACTCCTTCTCAATATCCCAAGAGCACTTCTACAAAACAAGGGGTGAAGATTATGTGATGATTGCTGCTTGAGAGTGCAAAAACAGATATTGCACAACAGAGCAAATCACAATTCCACAAGGCAATTTTAAAACTGGAGGAACCACAAAGAAAAAAAAATTATCACTTTGAAACTGGACCTTAAATCAGCAGCAAATTTGGCACCAGATGTAGCACACTTGCTTTGTGCCAAATTTGGGGATATTTGCACAAATGGTTTTTATGTTATGAATTTTTCTGCTTACTAACATTCATACCTCTTTAAAAACAACCGCTTTGTGTTTGGGTGATAAGTGGCTGACTGATGAAAGGAGGAGTCATCTTCTGGGATTTACCTTTGCATGATGTCACTTTGTGAATGATAGTGAGCAGAAGAGAGTATCCTGTGTAGACCATCTTGCAAGCTGTTACGGGTTATCAACCATCAGGCTGCCCTTTACTATGTAAAGTTTGGAATCCTTTTTTTCTGTTGGCAACATGAGCATGATCTTGTGCAGGAATATGAGGCCATTTCCTGTTTTTTTAAATCTTGGGTACAGAAGAACAATATCTCACATTCATAAAGCAAAGGGTTTTTTTCCTGAAGAACTGAATAATTTTTAAAAGGGTTAATTTAAAAAACATGTCAGACTGTTTGCCTATTGAAGCATCGTGGGGATCTGCCTGAGGGATAACACATGGTCTTAGCATGGGAAGTGGCTTTTTGATGCAGCACTTAAGCAGCTAAAATATATCTCTGTTACAAAAGTTTCAAAGTAGATTCATACTGCAGATGAAGAATACACTGTGGCTGTCCAAGTTTCCCTCAGGTAAAGTTTCCCTTTACCTACATTTCCTGGAATGTTACCATACTGCATGTTCTTTTGTACAGATTTACTTTCACAGCACAGATAAATGCTACCAAAACAAATACTTTTCAATACGTACCATGCTACACAGAGCAAGAGTAACAAGATGGAGCAGCAAGCAGCAACTGACCCTAACACAACAACAGTCAAATGCTGTGGTGGGGATGATAGATCTGAAAGAAGGAAAAGACAAGAAAAATTCAAAGAGCCAAATAACAAATGGTGTGCCCCAGTGCCAAAACACATGTTCAGAAAAATGCATATCTTTCCACGTATTATTCTGTTTCCTCTCAAAAAAAGTCCCATGTCTCATGTACTGTAACTCCAGAATCAGAAATGCATTTATAATCTAGAGATAATCCTGATGCATTTGTCCTTTTAACATGTCTTCACAGTTACACCAATTTTGCCATTTGAAGGAACAGTCTTTCTAGATAGATACTTTGCATTATCTACTATGACCCTAAGTTTTCTCAAATGTCTGAAGGAGCCTCATTAGATGTCCTGCCATCCAGGCACAATAGTTAGAGCTGATTGCAGTCCAAACCATCTAGAGGACAACAGGTTGGAAAAGCTTTGTACAGTATGTAACAAAACTCAGAATCCTGGATTTTCTGCAGTGGAGCTAAGCAGCCAATGGCCAACTGAAGAAATAACATTTAGAAGATACTACTCAAAATAAATTCTAGCCTTTTACTGCTTTGTTGACTTCTCGCCACCACTGAAACTATGACAGCAGTCTTTAAAGTTTCTCACTCATTCTGCACCCCATTAAAAGATGCAGCACACTGAACAAGCTGGGCTGCATGCAGGCTGAGTACAAACAAGCAAGATGAGATCAGCACCACTGCATATAAATCTTCATCAATCAGCTAAAAGCAGTTGTGGCATCAGCCGTAAGGAAGGGAAACTATGTTGACATTTGAACCCACACCACATGCCAAAGACAGGGCTTTGGTTGCCCATGTGACTTAAAAGGTCCAGAATCACCTTTACCCATTGGACAAATGGGAATCTGCAAGGAAGAATCAAAATTAAAGTCTGAATAAAGGGATTATGATGAAGAATGACCAGATTTATATTGTGCCCTTCCACAGGACAACACAAAGCACCTAACAATTCATATAAAATCACTGTTAAAATCACAAGTTACATGCTTAATTCTTCAGTCTGCTGCCTTCCACAAAGAATCAATTCATTTATTGTACTGGTCTTCCATTAAGCCTCCTAAGTCTGGAAACTAATTCTTAGGGATGAATGAACGGGGAAGGCATTTATATTGGCGAATCAACCATTTCTCAACTATCCTTGTCTCCAGCACTCATCCCTACTGGTGTTAACTAACAGATACATGCAATTTCTTACCTCAAAGATTATGGTCAACTACAGTTATCAAAAGACAAAGCAAGATATACACCCAACCAAGGAATCTGAAAGCACTCCACAGAACATAGCAATAAGGGAGCTCCACTGAGGTACAGGATCTGAAGATCTAATCTTATAGAGGGCTTTGCCCTGAAAAAAAAGCATCATCCCAGTGCTTGACTGCTGAGCACATAATAGCCTGTACTCTGTGAGCTGATTTGGGAATGACACATGTGGGTGAAAGAATCTATCCGCAAACAAAAGGTTTGGCTAGATCCCGAATGGTGAGCCTCTGGACAGCCCTCTACGTCACATGATGGGTAAGGCTAATGGGACCTGTAGGCCAAAACAGCTAGACAGCCAATTGTCCCCCATTCCAATCTGTATTGAGTTGTCCAACCATGATATGGATGAGACCAGGAAACATCCCAATTGAAGTTAGAACAAGATCTGACTAGGGCAAAATAATGATGTACTGTACAGTACAGGTATTATATTCTTTTGGACAAATAACAGGCACAATTCTCTTGAGACAAAGGATAATATTGTTTATATACTACAAATGTGTATATTAATCTATTTGACCTCAGAAGGGAAGCCAGATCATAATATTCAGCTGAGAGCTGAGGTTTAATGGTGGCGTTAACAGTTGCTAGGCATCTTGTTTGCCTTCCAGTGATGATGCAGGATGAAATGTGAGGGAGGAATAGAAACAAGGCACAGAAATTGAGGACCACTTCCACACTTCAAAGGTAGAGATAAATACAGTGACAAAGGAGCAGCTCTAGCTTATTCTTGGCACTCTCACTGCTGCATCTCTGTTGTGTCTCTGTGGGGAAACTTTGCCTGCTTCTGAGAGAGACATTGTACTCACACCAAACAGATGAGTGTGTTACAGCATCACACAGCATGCCAAGATGTAGAATTTCTGGAAAGCAGGAAATCACAGGCAAACCTAGTCACTGGGAGGGGGGGAATGTGTAACCTGCATAATGCACCAAACAGATGAGTGCCAGTTACAATGCTGTGTTACAGCATCACACAGCATGCCGAGATGTAGAATTTCTGGAAAACAGGAAGTCACAGGCAAGCCTAGCCCCACTTGTTTTGAGAGGAAAAGTGCGTCTTATGGTGCAAAAAATACGGTAAATTGTAAACTACCCAGATAGTGCCTTAAGCACAATGGGGTGGTACATAAGCAGCACACTTTGCTTTGCTTTTTCTCCAAGGAAAGATAAGATGAAGGGAACTGAAATTGTGGGAAACTATTGATCTAAATGCAATATTTTAATTTTTTATCAAATGTAAATCTATTGCAATGCTTGAAGAATATGAAATGTATTTTGTACAACATAAGCTGTAATCTTACATAAACGTGAGAGTACCACTAAATCTAACAGACTGTACTTCTGAGTAAACATGGATAGATCCACTATTGGGATAAGAAACACCTGACTGTTTATCTGTATTTTCAAACATTTGTTTGCTTTGTCTAATGAAAACGATGACATCATGAGAAGCAAGATTAGAAGTTCTCAGGTTGAACCAAATACATGAACATTCTCTGTAATGTGGAATTTTTGGAAGTTCTTATTGAACAGCCACATAAGCTGCTATTTCCCCCCTGACAGGAACACCTATTAACTATGATTTCCCCAATGAACTGAAAACTTACCTTTAATCTGGGCCCAGGCTACACAAGATTGTGTTCGTACCTGAAAAAGAACACAAATATTGACACCACTGTTTTTCCTAAAGGATGGAGGCTCTATTTTTCACTAGGATGTTAAGTATACAACTGTATTACTTTAAATGGTGTGGATTATGTAGCTGAAAATTTATTTAAAAAAATAAGTAAATCACTGAATATAGAAAGCCCTGAAAGAGGATGGGATTCTCTCAGTTTTTTTATATATATCAGCAGTTCATTTGTTCGTTCCTTCAGGTCTGGAGCAGCATTTGGTGATGTGAGCCCTCACCTGTATTCTAAGGAAAGGAAAGGAAAGACATATGGTCCAACTCTCCAGTGAGTTGCAGTGATCCCCTGCCCTGGCCACAACAAACACACCTCTGTATTTCAGGTAAGATTACAAAGGGCCTGGTTTTCAATGCAATTCTATACTTGTCTGCTAAGAAACCAACCCCCATTAGTTTGTGGGGACTGATTTCTAGGGAAAGTGGTATAGGACTGCAGTTTCAGAAGAGCTAGAAATGTCTCCCATTAGCTAAACATTTTTTCTTCAAGAAGTAAAAGACAGCAATAGGGACAACAAATAAGTGGCTATTAGGCCGAATAAATAAAGCAGTTGCAGGAATGAGAGTCAACTCTTAAGCAAGTTGCTTCCCGTCACTAATGCTGTTTGGAAGTGTTTGTCAGTGTAATCCTATACACATCTGCTTGACAGGAAGACTGTTTAAATTCAGTGAAATTCAACTCCACTTAAGCAGCTATGGGGTTACAGCTTCTTTTTACAATCCATCAATAAGCAATATAAGCTTCTAATTTCCAAAAACTGCTGATATTTGCCTATATTTTTGTTTCCAACTATATTCTGTCTTATTTTCAGTCACATTTCACTATTACAGGAAGGAAAAGCAGTATGCATCACTAATGTGCTTTGCGATAAACGCTGCCTCATACCAAATGATTTGCAAAACAAGGTGTTTAGCCTAGAGCAGTTATCTACTGGGTAGATGGGCAAAAACCTCAAATCTTCATATGAGGCTGTTCTGTATGCCATCAGGTAACCTTTTTTTAAAGCATGATAGCTGTGTTATTCAATTCTGATTTATGACAACCCTTTTTAAGGTTCTCCAGATAGGTTTAGGACCTCGATGCCTGGCGGAACACCTACTCCCACCAAGCTCTACCCGGATCACCCGTGCGAGTCAGGAGGTGAGGCTGAGGAGCCTGATGCCGAGAGAGGCCCAGAAGGAAAAGACACGAAATTGGGCCTCTCGGCGGTGGCTCCTCGCCTCTGGAACAACCTCCCTCCAGGGATTTGCGTGGCCCCCACGCTGGGTACCTTTAAAAACCAATTAAAAACATGGATGTATATTCAGGCCTTCCCTCCTGTCAGTACTTGAACTTTCTTTATTCCTTTTATTTATTTCTTACTTTATTTTGTATTGTAGTTTGTTATTGGATGTTTTAAGTAGTAATCTTGGGTTTTATTGTTTCTACATTATGTTGTAAGCCACCTAGAGTGGTCATATAGACCAGATGGGCTGGGTATAAATCAATCAATCAAACAAACAAACAAACAAATAAGAGCATGTTCAGAAGTGGTTGAACCTTCCCTTCTTCTGGGGGCACCCTGGGACTGGGCAGTTTGCCCTACACAGGCTGGCTCTTCTAGATGCACAGGGGGGGAACTGAACTCCCAACCTCGGGCTCCACAGCAAGTTACCACAGACTTTGCTTTTAAATGCTTTTTAACAGCATTAATGAAGCTAACATGTTCCTTCTGCAAACAATGTTTGGTGTTACAAAAAGAGAGATTTTTAAATGCTTTGCACTGAGATGGCAAAGGAAAAATACCAGTAATCATGCTTTGGTCCTTAAAGAACAAATATAAATGCATTACAGTAACTGCCCCCGTTATCCAAGGTGATTTTTAAAATGCAGTTACAGTAGGTTCACCATATCTGTAGGATCAGTAACTACAGTTTCAGTTATCTGCTGCTTACAATAATAAATTAAAAATACACCCAGGAACACACATTTTCAAAATGTATTATCAGAAATGATCACTAGAGGGAACTAGAAAATATACTATATATAGGGTTTGCCATATCAGGACTTCTCAGCATCTGTGGGCACAGGCCTTGGAACTGATCCCCTGCGGCTACTGTGGTCCTACTGTACATGGGTTTGCCTAGTGGAATTTTGAAGGGTTTTCCTTTTGAAAAGCAGGTACCTCTCCAAACTTTACTTCTTCAATTTCTTATGCTAGCATGGCTGGTTGGCATTAAACTCCAAGACATCCTTAGGTGCAAAGAACTAACTGCACAGTTCTTCACAGAGAACACAGTCAGATAATTCAAGGCAAGAAACATTCTTTTCTCTGCTCCAGGCCTTTCCCCCCTTTCCTCCCTCACACCTGCAAGGGAGGGGGAGGGTGTCTCCTTCAGAGCAATGTACTTGTGTTGCTGCTATTGCTGAAAGGGAGCAGGCCGGGTACATGGGGCTCGTCAGCCTTGGAAGGTAGCCCATCTAGGAGAAGGAAAACTCCAATTTCAAACCTCCACTGCCTTGTGGCTATATCGACTGATGGGAAAGGCTTCAGGAGTAAACCTCGAGGCAAAAACCAGAGCCGGAGTCCTGCAGGCAGTTCATGTCATTCTGACAACTCCTGTGACGTCGCTGGAACCAGTTGTATTGGCTCTTGCCTTTCCATTGGACTAGTTCAGTTAAGTGGAGAGGAGGGATTTGCTGGTTGGGTAACAGCCTATCCTCCAAATTATTTTACCCAGGCTTCGTGCTCTGGAGAGGACACTCCAGCTTTGCATACAGCGTCGAAACAACATGGGAAATAGCAGTTACTGGTTATGTCTTTGCTCGACTGGCATAGAGCATGACACCAGGGGCTACTTCCGATGGTAGGAGAGGTCATCACACCTCACTAGGTAGCTACCGCCTACCTTAAGTTGGGCAGTCCCCATTCAGTAAAGTGCTACCTCGCCACAGTCTGTTAACTTCACAGGGTTTAGGGTAAAAGCTGTCAAGCAGATAGATATCCCTGCACCATGCAACAATCATAAGAAAACTTCTGCCCTAAAGTTGGGCACTTGGAATGTTCAGACAATGACCCTTGGCTTTTCTGATAACCTGCAGGAAATAGACGATGTGCGCAACACAGCTGTCATCAACATGGAACTGAGTAGACTGCAAATGGACATAGTTGCCCTGCAAGAGACGAGACTGCCAGACATGGGATCTGTCAAAGAAAAAAAACTTCTTCTGGCAGGGAAACCCATTGCATGAGACCACGGAACATGGTGTTGGCTTTGCGGTCAGAAATACTCTTCTGAGATCCATTGTTCCACCTACTGTGGGGAGTGAAAGAATCTTATCTATTCAGCTCCACTCATCAGCAGGACCGGTCACCCTCATTAGTGCATATGCACCAACACTGT